TTTAATGCAGAGTAAAGAAAATATCTGTCTTCTCAAATGAGAATCTGGAAAGAGTATAAGACATTAGAATGCATCTTGATACCAGTAACTTAAATCCCCAAATGACAGTAGAGCAAAGCATGTCTGCTTAAGAAGAAGAAAGTAAAAAGGTAGCCTGTTTCCAACTTTAGCCTGCTTTTGATGTCACATTCACTCCATCTTACTTTGGATGCAGCTTCTGCAGGAATTAACTGCACAGAATGAGTTCTTAGGTCAGAAAAAAAGGTTGAGTACCTCAAATTATGCCTGCTTTTCTTTTTTTCCCCCCACTTCTCCAAAACATGTCAGTTGGTATAAATAGAGACATTATCTCTCCCTACACACGTATCACTCATATCTTTAAACAAGCACAGCTGTAATATCATAAAGAAGCAGTTGTCTGCTAAGGATCATGGAGCTGTTTTAGCACTGTAAAAAGGGGCCTGAACATATTATAAAATCCAGTGTCAATAACTAATATTTCCTGAATATCTAATCAATTAAAGACAACAGAGATCTTACAGCCTTTTATATTTTACAAAACAGCGTAGGACAAAAAAAACAGAAAATTCTACAATGACAGTTCCATGCATTCATAATAATGTTCAGCTATGACAATCTCTGTCTTACCTGGGCATCCTGTTTAAATTTCTGAAGAACAGGCTATCCTTTTTCCTGATCCATACTCACACATAAAAAACCCAAAAATGAGTCAAAATTCTAATTTCAGTGCAATAGCAACTGAAGTAACAGAGAAAATGTCTTTGAAGTAAATAACATTTGGTTCTTTGATTTTAACCTCAATCTGGATTGATTTATTAACTCTAAGTAATGATCAAGTCCTAGCTGCCAAATATCCATTCTTCTCCTCTATCCTTCTTGGTATATTTTGTCAGTACCTTTGTGATGAAGAACTCCAAATGTGTTTATCAACACTTACAGAACAAAATTTGGCACTATTAGGAAACCCCTTCTGTTGGAAATTCTTTTTTTAATCTCAGTGAAAATACCAGTTCTCAACATGATTCATCAGACAGCAGAGCTGCTCATGGTACACACACACACAGAATTTGTCATGAGGCCTACATGTGCATTACTTAGTGGTATAATATGGCTGCTGTGTGTTAAATCAAAAATCCTCAAATATTTTTAATCTTTTTATCATTTTCTTGTATGTAACTCTCATCTCTTCTCAAATTGCTAAAAAGGAAATTTTCCAGGACAAATTTTTTTTTCCAATATGGTTACAGTATCTGGAACTGTGAGCGTCAAGCACTTGAGAAGAATTTCTGACTATGGCCCTCAAAAACAATAATCATTCTTTTCACCTGTAAAATCCTCCAATATTAGTATACCAGCATATTTTTTTATAATTTATCACACGTACACACATTTCTCTTTTTTTTTCCAAAAAGCTCAAATGAATCACTGTTGCTACTAATAGCATTAAAGCCATTCTAGCTCAGAGGTAATCTTGCACCTGAAGCACTGTGTATTTAAAATACTTGAAATGCAATTGGGAGATGAAATTTGTTCATCCAATTTCCGGCTGCTCAGAGAAGAAATTTAGCAAAATCGTAGATGGTGTTTTAAGGGCCATGGCTGAAGTGAATAGGAAGCAAACCCTGCCCAGTAAAGAGCATTATCAGGAATAGAGAGCAGCCTGTGACACATATATAATTAGAGAAATTGGAGGCTTTGCCCATGAGACCATGTGTTCCCCAGCAAATCCTATTTCCTTCACTCTCCCTTTCATGGATATGTATAAATTGTAAAAATCTATCTGTTTTCCTTACATATAACATACCAGTTTATTTTTTTCTTTTCCAATATTTGCGTTAATTGAATTCACCAAACAAGTAACAGAAAAGAATCATAGCTCAGATCTTTTCAGGCAACTGACTTGCAAGTCAGAAACCATATAAGGAGACCAACAAACCACATTTTACATCTTGCAGGTATCTTACATGATGGTGGAATTAGCTATTTTTTTAAATCTTTTTTCCTTGTTAAAGAAAGTATAAAATAAAACTAACATAAAATGTCTGATGTGGAAGACCAAATCATAAGGAGGATGAAATTAATTTACCAGCTTCAAAATTTAAAAAACGTCTGTAGGTTCTACTTCAACACTGGGAAGTGAACATCAAATAAGCCAAGTTTATGATAATTTTTTTAAATAATTCTGGAAATATTAGGGCTGTCAGTGGCATGGTACAGAGCTTAGGTGTATAACCTATGAAGCACAACAGTAACCTCACACATATGTAATAGGAGCAAGGAAGCAATCACTCTGAACAAGACTTCTGTATGATAGGGAAAAACAAATTAGGCCTGAGTTTCCATAGTGATACAGCAACAAAAGGCTGCTGCAATTTCCAGCTGTCTATAGTGAGGCAGTAACAGCAAAGGGAGTTGAGCCCCTTCTCTGTAAATTTGAATTAGCATACTCAGAATTATCCATTAAATTTTAGTTCCGCACTATAAAGAAAATATTGAAGGAACTGGAAGAGGAAGAATAATAATAAAAAACAAGAAGTTCTGCAAGAAGCAAAGTTACTAAATGCTATGGATTTGGATTTCATGGTTGGATTCTCTGCTATCTTAAAAATGCAAATTCCAATGAGTAGTTCCACCTATTCATCTCCTCTGTGGGTTCTCTGATGTTTAATAAGAAATGATCTCATACTATAGCCTGTCTGCCAGTGGGAACACTAATGGGTCTCTTGCCCATCTGGCAGCCTGTTTTCCCGAAACTTACAGGAATTCCTCTCCAGTGGTGCTGAAACTGGCCAAGAGTTTAGAAGCTATTGAAGGAGAAAAGATCAGCAGCCATACAAAAACCCAGGCTAGCAAGTAGACAGTGTGATCATATAAGCCCTGCTTCCTAGGGAAACTGGGCTAATTACCAAAGGACTGAAAGATTCACTTATGATGAAAGTCCAAAGGCCCCAAAGCGGAAAAATACTTAAAAGGTAAAGTGGTCTATTGGATATAGGGCTGAAAGAACCAAACATGATAGCTAGGTTGGGACACAAATGATGAGGAATGTTATAATTTACAGAAATATAAATGTTAGTCAGGGATGATGAGGATTTATTTGTACCAAGAGGAGTTATTACTAAGCAGAATTGCAACTGGGAATTGTGGGATTAAATAAAGGAAAGCTTTAGGCTAAAAATCAAGCAACACTATAAGTGAGAGGAGTTTATAAAACAGTTTTGAGACATAGGAAATGGAAGCTCCATGACATAAAAAATTAAATGCAAAGAACCTGTTTTCTTATAGAACAATAATACACGGATGGTAAGATTGGCTGGAATTTCTAATTGGTCTTTCTTTTCATTCATAAGTAGATTAATAACAAAAAATACGTCACTAATAGATAATATAAAAACAAAAGTAGTTACTCTTTGTGAGTCCTTATCCAAATGGCTGAAACCAGACCTAATAGAGATAAATGTATAGATGTGCCTTCTTCACACATTACTTTCATGATGCATCAAAAATAAATACAGTATTATCCAGGTAATGATTTATAGAGAGCTATTAAAATATCTACTTCTACACATACCCAAAGGTGATCAAAGGTCCTCTGTATTTGTATTAGTGCAACATTTTGAAGCAATACTGAATAATTTGGGCTTCCTCATTACTGTTTTCTAGTGAAACATAAAATAATCAAAATTCAGAAAACAGATTACATTACACAGTATGTTTGACGTTGCAACTTCTAACTTTCATTTAATGTAGCTGAGCTGCAATGACTAATGCTGCCCATGGCCTGTAGTACAAAGAGCTAAAAAGGGTTCCAGACTAGATTACGTCCAGGCAGGTCTCATCTTAACGGAAATTGGAGAGATGAGAAAAAGATTATAGGAGAACACATTATAAAAACAGACCTCACAAGTCAAACTTAATAGTGGAACCATTTTCTTTCATGTAGACAACCATGAAAACAAATATCCTGTAAGCACTAGATATATATTGTATCTTTCTACCCGATCTCTTTGCCTCCTTGAGACAGATTCCCATTCATCTCATGACTATATAATTTGATCATAGTTGAGTAAGGCACAGCAGGGGAAAGGGTCTGTCTGATAAAGTACCAGGCACCAGGACAATAGATAAACAATTTCATGATTTCCAGTTGTAACAGGAATGTTACAGCGCTGGATATTAAGATATTAGTCCCATAGGAATACAAATATTAAGCTTCTGCAGTTTTTTTCTCTCACTAAATATGTTTTATTTCCATTAAGTAAAAATGACAGACGGATTCTGATAAACTAAGGCAGGTCACCAGAACAAAATTCAAGGCACATTTGAAAAGTGAAATGAAATCTTTTTCTTTTTTTTTTTTTATTTTTCAATGTGAAAGTTAGTATATAACTTTTAAAAGCATACAAGTGAAAAAATAGAGCAAGGAAGTTTCTTTCTCAAGGGGCATCTTTACTGCAAAAAACATTATTTAAAAGTAAGTGAAACAGTTGCCTATCAATTTGCTTCACATTTAAACCTCCTCTTTCACAAGGGACACGTTGGCAAGCAACTCCTGTGCTACAAGTCACTAGGGAAACGCCTGTTTGCAAAGCTACCCCATTGTTCTACATGTATTAAATGAAGGCTTGAGTGATAATATTTGAACAGCTATGATGGACTTCTTTTTCGTATATGAACACACATATTTGATTGGAATGCAAAAGCACAAATATATGGCAGCCATTATTAATACCAGTTCTGTTATTTGGCAAAAATTATACTGTCTTTGCAATTACCTCTTGTCTTGGATAGCTGGAAAGCATGGTCATACCCACTCCTGCTGATACCTGCTTTTATTTAAAAAAATTCAAAGAACAAATATACATTTTAAAGAATTTTTTAGTTGCAAACCCTGGGTGTCATTTTTTTGTTAAAGGAAACATATTCTGGAGTAAGCAATTTTTGAAGCTATCATACCAGTTCAATTTATTACCACTTACCTGTGATTCCTTCACGTTTTCCACAGTGAAGTTGAACCAGACTCGGAAGCGTGGGTTGCAGGTGTCTGGCCTAATGAAGAGGTCATACTCAAACTCTGTGACGTGGTCCACACGGCCAAGGTTCCCTACCAGGAACAGATGAAACAGGTTGTGTTTTAATGAATGGCTAATCAACTGTCCATCAACAACAGTGAGAAATGTTTTTTAAACTTCTATCTCCGTTGGTTAAAATATACAAGTATAACAGGCCTTACAACAGTTCAGAATTATGTTTAAAGGCTAAATTGTAGTCATAAAATACGTAGCAGTAAGCTACATGCATAAGAATACACCAAAAAGAAGGCAATAGAGACTTTTATTGTTCACTCAAATTGACCATTTGTTTCCTCTTATCTGAATATTCCAATTATGTGTCCTAACATCCTTTTAATTGTTTCTGTTTTTATTCACTTTTCTAATGATGTCTCTGCACATCTTCAAGTCCCCACCTGTTAGGATTTCTTTCCCATTGCTGATCTTGTTCAAGTCCCTGTAATATTAAAGAGTCCCCAGATTTCTGCCTGGGCCCTCTGGCTGTTGCTCTAAGCATCCCTCTCTCACCACAGATGGTCCAGCCTTCATCTTCTCTGCGATTCAAAAACCACCTCAACCCTTTCCCTTCACCATTTACAGTCACTATCACCTCCTTCCAAAGATACAAATGAGGTTTTGCTTCAGCTTGTTCCTAGTGAATTTCATGGAATAGTATTTTTAAATACAGTCAGAGTTACATCGTCCCCTATGGCATTATTCAGCAGGCAACCACACTGGCTATGGAAAACCCACTAAGTGCTTTTAAGTTGCTAAAATGGCATTTTTCTTTGAAGTATGCCAGGATTTTTAGAGACAGGGTTTAGACTGTCCATTGCATTTATACACTACAAAAATAAGACTTTACATTTTCCTGATCCAATCCAAAACCCATCTCATCAGGTCTTGTAAGACAGGGCCACATTTTAGCTCACATGCTAAATTACACCCTCTAAAAAGTAGCACTGAAAATCTGGGTTTCCAATTTCAAATATAATTTGAGGTTAGATATAAATTTTTGTGTTGGAAATATACCATTGGGCTCTAATGTGCATTTATAAGGTTATTTGAGCTAAACAATCCCTCCTCAGCAAGCCCCACTGCAGTCAATAGCACTGTTCTCTAGGAACACATTGCTCAATACCAGCACAAGCAGCAAAATTCAGCTGATCTGCTGCTCTGGGCTGGAAAAGAAGCAGGAAAAAGACATTTTTAATTCTGTTTATCAATACAGTTCCAGGGTTTCTACCTTATCCTAAATTGTTTCTGGCTTTTCTAATGGAACATGTTTAATCTTCTCTATTTTTAATGTTATCCTCTACTTTCCTACCCACATCCTTCTTTTCATAAGAAAATTCTCTCCCCTGCTTTCCTCTGCAGAGACCTGCTCCACGCTCTCAATCTGTTCCTGAGGGCTCGCCTCAAGGAGACACTTGGCATTGGAAATATTTGAAAAAACAGCTCTATTGCAAAGCCAGAATGCCTCTGCCAAACAGAAATAATGACACCTGCCGTGGTGGGTGTCGGTGCCCAGGTGCCGGCAGTGGGGCTGCAGGCCCGGCTCTTGGAGCGGCTGTGCTGGCCCTGCCCATTCCAGCTGGCTCCCCACACTCCCAGATGGCTCCAGAATGGCCTCACCCATGGCACAGCCCAGCCCCTCAGCCCAGGGGTAAAAATGTGTCCAGTGAAGGGCAAAATCCTACACAGGCAAAGGGGCAAGGGAGCCTGAGGAGAACAGGGGAGCGAGGAGGAGGAAGGAAGGAGGTGCTCTGGGAGCCAGGATAGAGATTCCCTGTGTCCTGTGGGGAGAGGCTGGAGCAGGTTGGTACAGTGACCCATGGAATGCCCACAGGTTGGTGTCTCCTGGAGGAGCAGTGACCCATGGAATGCCCACAGGTTGGTGTCTCCTGGAGGAGCAGTGACCCATGGAATGCCCACAGGTTGGTGTCTCCTGGAGGAGCAGTGACCCATGAAGGGCCCAGGATGGAACAGGTCGGTGTCTCCTGAGAAGGAGTGACCCATGAAGAGCCCAGGATGGAGCAGGTTGGTGTCTCCTGAGAAGGAGTGACCCATGAAGGGCCCAGGATGGAACAGGTTGGTGTCTCCTGAGGAGGAGTGACCCATGAAGGGCCCAGGATGGAGCAGGTTGGTGTCTCCTGAGGAGCAGTGACCCATGGATTGCCCAGGCTGGAGAAGGGGACCGAGGAAGGATCAGCCCTCAGCCCCTTGCACCACTCCTTGTGTGGGGAAGTTGCTCCTGTGAAACAGGGAAGGGCAGGTAGAAGGCACTGTTTTCATTTCTCTTTGATTTTTACTATGCAAACCTATTTTAACTGGCCATAAATTAATCTCCATTAACACAGCAGAGTGTTTTGCCTGTGCAGGCCATTGCTGAGCCCTGTCTGCACCTCGACCCAAGAGCTTTTTCACCTTATTTTCACCTCTGTCCAGGTGAGGAGTGTGGGTGAGAGAGCACTGGGTGAGCAAAGCCAGCCCACCACGGCTCATGACTTTAGCTAAAGCCCCTGACACACCTGAGTGCATATTCTGCCACAGGGATCAGACCCATCCCTTATTGACAACTGAACTCAAATCTTAATGTAAACTATGATTTCCTACATATTATTATCCAAAGTAAATAAGAATGGTAAAACCAAGCTATTGCATTGTAATGCCTTTAATTAAGTGACTTCGTTTTGCTGCATTTTTCATTAAATGTCATGAGTAAATGACATAGCTGGGATAATAATATTCCTTGGATATTTCAGGATTTAGGTAGTCTGAGGTATCCATCCTGAAAGCTGAGATTCCAATTGCATCACAGGTCAGAGATTTAGATCTCTCTGGACAAAGTTTGGTGTGTGGATTCACCTCAGCCTGAGCTGTGCATGTGATCTTGGCAGATTGTCTCAGGTTAAGGCAGCAGGCTGGATGAACACAGATGGTGGGCTATGTCCATCTTGTAAACTCATAAACTAATATGCATGCCTCCCAGCAATCCCAGCAAGTCCAGATTTGGATTAAGTTATCTGCAGCACAGAGCAGAGGTGCAGATCTTCATGGAATTATTCCCAAAGAAGGACACAGAAGCAATTAAACTCATATTTAAAGTTCAAAGACCATTAAAAACTTGTACTGCAAGGCATAAGAAACTAAAAGATTATTAAGTGAATAATTAAAAAAGAGCAAAATAAGACTTTGATTTTGACCTTTTGCACATTTCAGTTTTTCAACATCAAGTTAACCTGATGTTGATGGGGAACAAATGACCCTCTCAAATCTGCTTTATAGAGTCCTCAGGATCCCTAAACTAGCACTGGAGAATTGTACTGATGTCAGGGGAGTCACAGATGGTGAAGAGCTGGTGTGCTGGAGCCACTGCCATCCAGTCTGCTTTGGAAAACCCATCCCAAATCCAGCAGAGCCCTTAAAATTTAATCATTTGTGTGCTTGATTCCTCACGAACCCCAGCATGGTTTTCTCTCTTGATTTGAATACTTCCTTCCCTCTTAATGCACTGTTCTTTTCCCTTTGTGAGTTTATTAGTTTATTATTATTTTCTACCTCTACTAGGCACAAATCAGCTGCCATTGTCACCTGCAGCCCTTTGCAGTTTGATGTCATTTGGACATTTCATTAGCCCACTCTTTCTTCTCTGGCTTCCAGATGCTTAAGAGGCTGGACTGAGCACTAATGCCTTCGGTAACTAATTCAACAAGTTCCTCATGCTCAATAGACTATTGTTTGTAATATCACAGCCTTTGCTCACAATCTGTCAGCCTAATTTCAGCCCACATAGCAATGTCATTAAACAAGACAGCAGTTTTGGTACAAAGAAGCCAAGAACTGTAGGAACAAAACACCTCCTCGCTTTAGGAGATGCTTTGTAGAAAACTGATAATGCCACTGAAAAACATTTCTTGGTGTCCAAGAAAGGATATAAACTTCCCAATGTTAATCTCATAAACAAACTGAGCAGGTTTTTGTCCTGCCTTCACAGTGCTGTAATCACGGGAAATACATTTACTCTAATGGATGAGAATTATATTCCAAAACCACAGGTACCACATTAGAAGCTATGGAACAGGAATTAAAACATTGATTACAGCATTCCATTTATATATTAAGCCATTTTAACACTGAAAATAAACAATTTTTTTCTTAAGTGCAAGCCACTTCTAAACTGATTTTTTTTCATATCTGTAAAAGGTTCCATAATTTTTTTTCTTGCCTTTTTGCTAAATATATAGCAAAAGAGAAAACTATTTAATAAGTGGGTAGACAGCAAGTTCCTCCTGTGTGCCAGGAATTTCTGTGCAATTCCACAATGCCTACACTGTACTTTGCAGTACCTGCAGCCAACAGTTTCTGCACTGAAATTGTGAGAAATGTAAGAGAAAGCCAGATAACACCAATTTTGTTTAATGTACCTATCAACAGTTTTCAGTCATGACACAACTACTGTATGACACTTCATGTGCACAGGTCTTATTCTGTGTACCTTGCTAGTCTGGTCACTTGTGGTATCAGTAAGAGAGTCTGTTCACAACCTCATTGGTTAAGTATATTCTTATAAAATCAGAGAAAAAAGTCTCCCACTACCAAAACATCAGCTTTGCTTTACTTCACTTTGAGATCGTGCCCACATGAACTCATCCCCACTTCATTCCATAAATACAGAAGTTGTATATATGAGAATATATAGCATTCTCCAAAGCCTCATCATTCCATATCTTGTGATTAGCACTATATTTTTGGGTTAACATTACAAAACACAAGATATTAAAGATATTTAAGGTACATGTATGATTAAAGAACTGATTGAGTAATGTGACTGCAAGGGGAAAAAAACCCAACAATATTATGAGCAATAAAATCTGAACTGGTTGTCATTCTAAAACAATTCTTGTTTAATTTTTTTTTTAAATTTGGGTGCACATCTGGATGTCAAATGACTTTCTGACTATATCTTAAAAGTAAAACAAGTAATTTATTAGGGTTGCCAGCACTTCACAGAACATTTTTGATTTTCTTTCCTTTGCACTCTGAAATTAGT